AGGGTTTCAGTTATGCACAAAGAAAACCTTTGATTACACCTTAGGTTTGAGTGATTCATATATCGAGAATTGGAGAGGTAGGGAAACACTTAGGTAGAAAATAAGATTGTTCTTGGGCGCCTTCAGGGTTGTTCTAGGGAACCTGAAGGCGAAAGCCATTTTCTTGTAACTCATCTGTAATCTTTTGTAACAACTTTCTGAGTATAGTGAATGGAAAGCTGCTCTCTCCCCCAAAGTAGATCGTTTAATCAAACTGGTAATAAAACATTCGGTCTTTTCTTGCCTTATTATGTTATATTATCTGTGTACGAATTATTATTGCTGAAAACTATTTATTTTGGTTGTTATTGTTCTTTGCCTCACAAATTGATATTGAATATTGTCGTAATTCACAACAAGATTCACAATATTTAGCTACTAAAAGTTTTAAACAATTGAACACCCTGATTTGTATGACAAGTGATACCATTATCCTATCATTCATTCATAAACTGAATTTGGAACTATTCCATTTGGATTTCTTCTCAAAATACATGACAAACATTATTTGCTACGTATAAATGTTATTAACCCCTATTTGGGCTGATTTTACCACTTAATTTGTCAAGTTGAACCATGTGTATCATATAATTTCAGTGATAAACTTTTTATAAAATTTTCTTGAGTTTTAATTAAAATTTCAAATTCATGAATCAATTAATTAGAGTTGCAAAAACGCTACTTTGCCCCTGTGTCGTTGGCTATGTTGCTCTATGATGCAAAAACAATATTGAAATGGTGTAAACTAAGAGGCAATTTTCATTATCCTTTCATAAACTAAAAAAAATTAAAAATTAAATCTATGACAGAAAGATTAGCTCGGTTAAAAAGTTTTAGAAATTTTGAAGTTGGGCATAATCGCATAAGTATACTTTAGTTGCCGGTTTAAATATGCATTTATCCTCTTTATTTTATTTAGTGTCATGACAGATTAACTAACAAGGTTCCGCAATGCAACTATTTTCTTTTAAAGTTGAGCATCAAGGCACTGTCCCTGAAACAGAGATATCCTCTTCACATTTTTTATCTCCTTTAAATTTTCTATATAGTTTCATGTTTTAAGATTTTTCCGCTTTCTTAAAAACTCTCATGTTGCTAGGTTTAATTTGGTCATATTAATTTATTGTGTAAAGTTTAGGTCTGATAGTGATTAAGTCATTCAAATTATCCTTACATCGATTACATTTGTTTGTATATGTAATGTTAGATTAATTCAATTAATCAATGAAATTCTTAAAATTGATTAATTAAGTGATGGGATAGATTGTTCATGATTCTATATTTTATTATATTATCTAAACATCTATTAACTTGTGATATCAATCCAACGTATACACAATAATTTTTCTGCTACCAAATTTGGTAAAACTATGGTTTTTGAAACAAAATTTAAAGGTAAGGTCTATTCAACCCTCCTTCTAGACCTTTCTCACCCCATTTCTCCCCTAACAATTGGTATCAAAACTGTTATTTTGATCACGTCTCGCAACTTCAAAATTTGAGAATATGGAAAAGGAGAATCTGAAGGGTGCGTATAATAGAGCTCTTATATTCAAGGGCAAAAACTGTGTAGCGGAAGGATAACGTGTATGTTCACTTAATATTAGTCGATAAAATGCTTTATGTTTTCATCAAAGATGATTTTTTTCTCCCAAAAATAACTGTTTAAGGTGTTGAAACTATAAAGCCCCTAAATTTTGGAATGATAAGAAACTAAGAAAGCTTCTTATGATTTGTAAGCAATTACACTTTATTTTGTCTCATAAAACTGCTTAATCAATGTGGAATGCACTTCTGATACTCTATAAGGGTATTGAGGATGTGAAATAATCTAAGATTAACATTTTGAAAGAAGAATATGAGATATTATGTATGGAACCTAGTGAAATTGTGGAATCCATGTAGATGCACTTTATTCATTTAATCAATAGATTAGAGAATCTAGCTAATATTTTATCTAAAAAAGATTGTGCTAGCAAAGTTCTAAATTTTATGTGCATAGATTGACAACCAAAAGTAACCACCATAAAATAGTCACATGATTTGAACACTTTTGATATAACAACAATGTTTGGAAAGCTTACCGAGCACATGCATGAATTAGAGAGACTTGAAACGACTAAAGCTAATGCAAAGAGGAAAGAAAAAGTAAGAGAAGAAAAAAGAAGCTCTGACGAGAATTTCTTCCACTAGAATGTACCATTCTAGTGTGCGGTGAAGAAAGGAAAATATTGCTAAAATGTTTTCTACATATGGCGCCAATGACTGGGTGTAGACCTAAGGTGTTTACTGCTAGATTTATTGGTCTAGATTTGATGGTGTGCTCCGGCTTGTGGCAAATATTTTGGTGCTTGGGTCCAGCGCTTAGAGGGAGAGTGATATCTATAAATACTCTGGCGCCCAAGTTAATGACTACATGAGGTAGACAAAATATTTTTTGTTACAAAAGGTGTGTACCTTGCAGGGACGAAGCTACTTTGATCCTTGTGTGGGTTAGAGCCCCCACTTGCATTTAAAAATGAGAGAAATGTACTTTAAAATTATATAAGTATTTTGAATATTTAATTGATTCATTCAGTAACTAGCCCACACTTACAAAATAATAAATAATTATGTGATTTATTTAGTCACCTAATCTATTGTTGGGTTATTACTTGAGTCCATAAATTATTCATAAAAAGAAATATTAATGGTGTGTCTGTAATCTGAATATAACTAAAGAATTAATGTGACAATATCTCACATAATTACATACTAAAACAATTAATTATTTAAAAAAAAAAAACTCATTCTAAATATGTTTATTCTAAATTTCTAATGATTGTTTAATTATTTATGTAAATTAATAATTTTATTCATATTAAAATAAATAAAAAAGTATTATTATTTTCAAATATAATTTTTTTTATAAAATAATTGTAATGTATACTAATATTTTTAAAATTGAATTATAATGCCCCCACTATTAAATATTTCTTGCTCCATCTCTGGTACCTTGTCTTTCTCGATTGCCTTCATTCTATAATCTAATTCTAAGGTTTTTATGGATTTAGAACTAGTTTGTCTCAACTAACTGACTAATGGGACAAGTGCCAATATACTATTTTTTTCATTGATTTAAGAGTCTTCCTTCAACCATTCACTTTGATTAGGTATTTTCTTAGAGCACAATCACATGTGTTTTCGAAGTCCTATGATTTTCTTTTTTCGGGACATTTATCTTTGTGTTTTGACCTTGATATGAAAGCCCCTAAAATTAAGGATCAAACTGAGTCTTCTTCATTATGAGTCAACACTTGGTCCTTTTTACACATGCATGTCGTCATATGCGGGAAAAGTATGGGATCCCAAATAACTTTATCCATACACAACGTTATAGGGCAATGTTTAGACAATACTCTATTAAGAGCTAATTGTCTACAATTTGGCCATTTCAAACCTCACTATTGAGATAATAAAAACAAATCCAACTCACTCATAAAAAATCCATCAAACCTCGACAAAGTAAACTTTCCATCCTTAAGTGGTAAATCAATAAATTCTAATTCATCAATAAAATTATTAAAATGATAACATCTTCCGACATATAAAATTTCCTTTTATTAGCTATTTTAACTGAATTTCTAATAGTAATAAAGTCTCCACAAATACGCCACAATGAATTATTTTGTCCCCTCACAACATCACATAAATCGTCCCACAAAAATTGTTTACTTATATTATCACATGATGCATAAACATTTGTAAGTGAAATTGATTATCTAAAAGACTTTCAAAGTTAGAAAAAAAATAATACCTCAATTGAATTGCACTCCCACATAGTAAGAGTTCCTTTAGAAACATTAAAGGACACTCAAAATGAAAAACCTGACATCCACACAACATTTAATTTGCCATAAAATACCTAATCAATTTTGTTTCTTAGAATATACAAAAAAATTGACTTATTTTCTTTAATAAAAAATTAGACTTCCTACCAATCGTTAGTTGGTTAAGTAGAAGTTGACGCTGAACTTAGTACGAAAGACACGTTTCAATCCTCACAACTACGATCATGATAAAACTGAATCCACTTGATATCAAAACTGACTCTCGAACCAGATGAATTTTTCACCCAAATCTCTTATATTATAACTTAACAACTACACCATTATAACATTCAACGCTCAAACATACATACCTTCGTAAATCTTAATCCGTCTCATTTTCTCCCTCAAACACCTTTTTAATTTGTTTATCTTTCACTACCAAATTGTTCAATAAACACAAACATGATGAATTTTAGTGATTGTATACAAGATCCAAAAATAACACATTAATATATCTTTGGTGTGTTACATAATACATGGTTAGAATCACTATAGAGACTATTAATGTCTGTTTGGTGTGTTACATAATACATGGTTAGGATCACTAGTGAGACTATTAGGTATTAGACATTTCTTAAGCCAACTCACTCCTCTAGAAGAAAAGATCAACAAAAACAGCCACACACAATGCAACAAGACCCATGAGGGAGTGGTCCATTTCCTTTTCACACAAAACCATTTTAAAGTAACTTGAGTTACCAACATGAGTTTAGAACCGTTTGATATAATATATACAAACTAGTCTCATACGTGTACAATATTATATAGTATAGTATTGCATAAGCTTCAACTTTAATACAATTCCCAAGTATACTCTTCCCTGTTATGCATACATCAAGTTACTCTTTATGTATTTTATTAATTAAAATATATAATACATAGTACAAACAATAACGTTATTACACACAACAGTCCTAGAAAACTGTACAACACACATATCTCTTGTCCAGAAATTTCATTCCTCTCTCTCTCTCTCTCTCTCTCTCTCTCTCTCTCTCTCTCTCTCTCTCTCTCATACTGGAGTACCCTTCTGAACTTGATCCAATTTTCATCAAATAGATTTCTCCAACAACAACATAGTCTTATTTAATCATGGTTCTTCTGGCATGTTTTGTGCTTTTCCTTTCTCTAACTGGATATTCAAGTAAGCAACTAAATTTTGGTTCTGCTTATTTCATTCAAGTAGTTAAACAAACTTTTTAACTATAACAATCCATCTCATCACTTTTTTCATTTCTTGCTTTTCTTTTGATTATGTCACACATCTCTTTATATAGCAAAATCCATTTTTTCTTCAAAAAGTTCCCTTTTTTCCCCTTTTCTAATGATTTTAGTTAATTTTTGTGTCAATTTCATTTAACCCCTTTTATTCTTTAGGAGAAAAGATAGGATTTTTATATTGTTTAATCACTAATTTTGTTTATGTTTTTAAATTTTTTTTTTGTTTATTAGGTGGTGCTATGTATTGTGTGTGTAAAGATGGTGTTGGAGATCAAAATCTTCAAAGGGCTATAGATTATGCTTGTGGTGCTGGAGCTGATTGTTCACCTATTCTACAATCTGGATCATGTTTTCAACCCAATACTGTGAAAGATCACTGCAGTTATGCTGTTAATAGCTATTTCCAGAAAAAGGGTCAAGTTCAAGGTAGCTGTGATTTTTCTGGTAGTGCTATGACCAGTCCAACTCCACCTACTAGTAAGTATCCTCTATTTTCTACCATCCTTCAAAATCACTTTTTTATGTACTAATTTTGTTCATTTCTTTCTGATCTACAGCTTCAACAACTACCTGTGTTTTTCCTTCAAGTGGGTATGTTCCTTAATTATACTCCATGGATCTTGCTGTTTTCTTGTTATCTATCTAGTGATTTGGCCTTAATATTACATCTCTGAAATTCTAATGATAAGTTGTTGAGTTTGTTTTTCGCAATATATTACTATTAGGCTCATTTAGAAACCATCTTTTCATGAAAACCAAATTGGTTTGCTTTTCTGCATTTAGTTAAGATTTAACTTAGAAGTTAGCATTTGATGAAGTAGCTCTAGGTTTCATTAGCACTGATGAACATGAATTTATATTTTTAATGTGTTTTTATGTTACTTTTTGGTAATACTTTTGAGGTTTAGATTAGGCAAAAAGCCATTTTCTGAGGGGTTGGCTGATGCTGTATCCACTGTTTCTAGACAAGAATTTACATTCAAGCCATGATATGATTGTGTTTTTTCTGTTGAACATTAGCTGTCATGAATAGGATGTTTCACTATTAATTATTTTTGTACTCTTCACCCTCAAATGCTTATTATTCCTAGATCTGTGATCTTATATAATAAAGTAATCTAAATTTGTAACTGAAAAAAAAATCTAAAAAAATATAGAATATCTTTTTGCATGTGTTTGGATGCAAGTTTGGCCATTGTACCATTTTTAATGTTATATAGTTTATATTTAAGAGCGTCTAAGGTGGGCGAGCTACCGAAACTGGGCCGAAAAGGTTTTGATTTGTTTTGTCACGGTTGAATGGGCCGAAAAGTTTTTGATTTGTTTTGTCACGGTTGAATCGTGACTAACTTGCACCAAGTCTCCAACAACTTACGATGGCCAGGTGGACAGACTATTGCACAAGACTCAAAATTTGTCATGGTTAAACCCCGACTGAAAAGGCTCTTATTTGTAATGTCACGGTTGAACCGTGACTAAATTGCCCTGAGTCTCCAAAAATCTAAGATTGCCAGGTAGGTGGGCGGACTACCATACTGTACATGGCTCAAAATTTCTCATGGTTTGGTAAACCGTGACTAAAAAGATTTTGATTTGTTTTGTAAGGGTTAAACTGTAACTAACTTACCCTGAATGTCCAAAAAATTTAAGATGGCCCTGAAGTTCATTAGTCTATTTGAAATCATTATATGATGATTTTATTTGGCTTCAAAATGCAGCAATGCAGGAGGAGGTACAGGCACAACTCCAGGAACCAATACACCTGTAGGCACAGCACCACCTTCCACCATAACTCCAACCACACCTGCAGGTACAACACCAGGAACAGGAACAGGTACCGGTACCGGCACAGGCACACCAACCGGCACAGGCACACCAACCGGCACAGGCACAGGAACAGGTACAGGCACAGGCACCGGAACTGGCTCAACCACAGGTGGTCCTAATGTGTTTGGGATGAGTCCAACATCTTCAACTGGTAATGGAAGTGGCTTCACTGACCCTAATGGAGTGGTTCAATTAAAAAAATGTAGTTACGTTTTGTTGCTATCCCTTGTTTTTACTTTATGGCTAGTAACTTTAAGGGACTAAAAATAATAAACCTTTTAGGCAAAAAGTTATGGGTGATTCAACAGTGTGGGTGAGATTTTGTGCCATTACATAATGGATGGGTGTTTTATGTAATTTCATCATCACTTGAGAAAGAATCATCCAGAAACAAACCCCACTTTAGTCTTCTCTTCTTTTTGCTTTTGTTTTGTTCCTTCTATGTGCAAAAGGAAGAGAATATGGTTCCTTTTTAGTGGTGGCATAGAACCAACCTACTCACTTTTTCCATTTTGTATAATTATGAGTATAAGATTCACTATTTTTTAATTAGTTGAACCGTTATCTACATTATATGTATATGTGATATCCATGGTTTTAGCCTTGAAATTTTTCTTTGATGGCATGATTTGCATTTGATAAAACTAGACATACATCATTTTCACTTTTTCAACAACCGCACATTGCGTGATACTTGATTTGTCATTTTCCTTGTGGACGACACTAATGATAACAACTTTGTTCTGCCAATAAATGTAATATATGAAGATACCATGTTTTTCTTCTGGCATCAACAAGTGTATGCTTGCAATATATTCACACTACATGCACCGTCATGGGTAAAAAAAGCTTAGATAGAGACTAATAGTATATTACTTTCTGTTCTGATAGTATATACGTCCCATGATGTTTTCTATGTTCTTACACCTAAATTACAGTTCTGTTTCAAGTGGTCAATAATGGGAATGGACAATCTAGTTTGAACTTCACTTGAACTCAATGACAGTTATTAACAAAATCAACTGCAATAAATTTATGTCTACTTGCATTCATAGATAGAGATGCAACATCTAGAAGCAATAATATAACCCATATTTGAAATCATCATCTATTTGTCACGACCCTGAACTCCCAATGTAGCTATTCGCAACGAACTCCTAAAAAGGTGTTAAAGAGGTATATATATACTTCTAAACTCAGATTTTGAATCTCACCTTCTTGCAAAAAGAAAAAATTCAAATATTTTTCATCTCATTTTTTTCATTTTTTTTACAAATGTCAAAATTCTGAATTTCTAAAAGAGGAAAACTTGCATACTTCAATTTACAAAAATTCATCATAGTTTCATTCTTACTCATTTGAACACTTGTTGAAGACAATTTTAAATCTACTCAAACAAAGTTATTCATTTATTCTTTTGATTACATACTTAATGCTCCAGGATTGTTGGAATTAAGTTTGTAAGGTTGTTACCATGTTGTCCAGGATTGTTGGAAGCAAGAGGTCCACATTGAGAAGATTGTTCTCATTGGACTTAGTTGAAAAATCCGAGAGTGTGTTCTTGGTGGTTTGCTTGATTTATGTATGTATAGAAAGACTAGATAGAAAGTCTTGTCTTAGGACCAAACAATATTGAAAAATCTCTTTCATGTTAAAAGGGGATCAGAGTACTCTTGGACTGTAAGGGGAATCAGGATATATCGTTGTGTCTCTTTTACTTTTCGCATTTACCGCATTCCTCACTTAGAAAATCTTTAGAAAAGTAAAACAAGATTCCTACAAAAAGACCAGAAAATTTTAAGAACCTAATTCACCCTCCTAGGTGCATTTTTCACTTACACACTTCACTTAGAACGTCGATTTCTGGTAATCCTGAACTCATATTTAATCTCTTCAAATCTATGATGTCTTTGAAGTTGAGATTGCCAAGTCGATAATGCCATATCCATTCATCTTGATAACAGAAAATCATCTTAATTTGCTTGCACCAATTCTCATAATTATCTTTCTTGAGAATCAGAAGGTTTGCCGGAAAGTGCCCATTTGAACGATTCATCACCATCACGATTTTGCTTCCTTGAATCGTAACCGGAGCTTTAGATACCAGATGTTGGAATTCAACCACAATCTATGGTGAAATTCACTCAATCTTGATCTCAAGATTATTTCACTCGTGCAATGATAATAAAAAGAAAAGGTTAAGAAAGAAAGAAAATAGCGTTGGAAAAGAAAATGAGTATTTTCTGCAAAGTTTCTCTTTGCCAACAAATAGTGGAAACCTTGTTAATATTGCAAATGCAATTGATTACAAGTTCTCAATTATGAGTTGTTTACAAAACAATGGTTTCTCCTTATTTATAGATTTAGGTTAGCTTGCACCCCAAGGCAAAGCCCAAAATAGCTAACATTTCTAAAATAGGCCTAAGTCGAAATCCTGTGTGAAGCAACCTGCTTCAACACTTCGACATACTAATACAACTCGAGACATAAATATTAGGCTAATTCAACTAATCCTTGTTTCTGTCGAGCTACATTGCTTCAACACAAGGAATTACAACTCAACAAATATATCTCTGGAACATTTTGAAGGTTATTATCGCGACATGCTCTTCTCCTCTCACACTTTTCATTTTCATTCACTAAACTCTTCCACTCTCTCATTCCCAAATTTCTCCAACTTCACTAAATTGTACTTCATTTGTCAGAGGCTCAAGTAGTTATTAATCATCATCCATTCCAGCATTCAACATCTTCCAAATCATATATTTCGGGTAAGTTTTTCGAGTTTTCGGTAAATATTCAAGTTTTATTGTAAACGAGTTAGAATCCATTATTAGGTGTTGAAATGTTTAGAAATCAGATGAAACATAGTTTAAAGTAAGTGCATGTATTGTATGTTGGCTCAAATGGACGATCAGAGTTTTATTATTCACTCACTGAATAGCAGAGGTCGTCATTGTCGTGGCCTCTCAGTTTCAAAAAGTTTTGGAGATACATCTCCGAAAAAAAATCAATGTTTCATGTACTTTTGGAAATTCTGGAGATACATCTCTGGAATTTTTTCGTAGAGATATCTCCAAAATTTCCTCAATCTATTTTTTTTAATAATATTCTTGTTCGTGTTATTCTTTTGCGTAAACTCATTATATGACTAATTTTACCTTGCAGATAGAACAATTGATAGAGCCGACCGATTGAGACTTGGATGAGTTTCTCATCATGCATCCGTTTGGCGGGAGCGAAGGCAGCAGGTACCTCTGGTCAACAAGAGGCGTCGACTGCAGGGCGTAGTCTACTCTTAAGGCTCAATCCACTCCTATGGTGCAGTTCACTCCTAGGGCTCAGACTTCACCTCAGGATACCCCATCTACATCTCAGGTCATTCCACCTTCTTCTTCTTCTTCTTCTTCTTCATGCAGAAGATACAATGCACTAGATGACACGTCACTTCCTCAATCCTTTCGCAGGCGTCGAAATGCACTTGTGCCACCTCTTGTTAATCTGGTGCCACCTCTGGTGGGTGAGGTTGCTGATGATCTTGATGCACCGGTGCCACCTTCGAAGGGTTAGGTTGCTGATGCCGAGCCAGAGGCCTTCGGAGAGGATCTGTCGCGGTGAAAATCGGATACCAAACTATTGATTAGTTTGAATCTTTAATTCATTTTGCAACCGAACTTTGATTTGTCCAAAGGAAGGGATAAAGATCGAAATTCCCATAATGCAATGCAAATGCAAGGTTTAGAGAGTTATAGGTTCGGGGGTTGGTTAAACTTAGGGAAGGTGCTAGCATCCTAAGTTTCTGTAGTACTCTACAGGAACCTTTTGTTTTATGTTTGTTTATTGCTAAGTGTTTATCTGCTTAAAGGTTAAAGACCTAGGGGTTTATTTCTAAGTATACTCGATAAGATATCGCATCTTATGCCTACATATCCTTAAGGGAGCGGAATCAGAGTATCTGTAGTTCCCCTAAAGGGTTTGAGGAGTTCTTTGACTGTGTTCAAAGTTCCTACGGGTTTAGGGTAGTTGATTGATCGAGTTTAGGAGAAAAGATGAGTTGTCATTTTAAGAGAGATTACTTGATTTTAACCGCCACAACGTTGTAGGAAAATAGTCTTTGCATCGTCTCAAGAGAAGGGCTCAAGTACTTGGATTGTCAACAAGTACGCCTCTATCTCTCCTAAGGCAAAGTCCCTATGAATTGATTGAATTGTTATGGGGTAGGACTTTTATCCCACTTAAGATGATTAACATCTTATTCTCTAAGGTGTTTAAATAATTGTATTGAGTTGTTTTGTTTGTCTAAGTTGTAAAAATAAAGGTCCTTCCTATGAGATAGGATCTATCTTAAGTGATTGACTTGAATGGGATCAAGGATCGAGTGAGGGGTATGATGCGAAATAAGATGCACTACACACAAGTATTGAATCATGTGTAGGTTTTTCCTTTAGACGGAATGCAATGCGATAGTAAATACAATAATGTAATTTGCGGAAAGAAATAAAACAGGTAGAATAAACATACATACGTATGAAAGCGCTAAGGTGCAAGTGTGAGCTGTGAAATGTGCATATGTGAGTGGAATCGAAGCGTACACGATTGATCGAGTTACGAGGAGTTGATTTTAGGCGGGATTGATTAATTTTAGTGGGAATTGTTTTAATAATTGGTGTGTTTATTTTAATTATGAAATTAAATTAAGTTACAAGTTCATTGGATTTGAAAGGAGTGATTTTTTTATTTAGTAAAAGGGGTTTTAAATTAATTAAGTTATAGTAAGTAATTTAAAAAAGATTCTTAAGCAAAGTAAGGGGTCTTTATATTTTATCTTATTAAGTAGAAGTTGACATGAAATGGTTCATTATAAAAGTTAATTCGATTAAAAGGATTTCTTTTAAAAAAAAATAGTTTTGTTGTTATTAATAAACAAATATAAAAGATTTTTATTGAACTGTTTATTATTAAATAATAAGTTATTTGGTGGAATAAGACTAATTAATAAGGTGAAATAAAATAAGTCGAATTTATTGAAATAAATGATAAATTAATAAGTTAACTAAATAGAAAGAAAAAAAATGATTAAATGGATAATTTAAATAAGAAAAGTTTTATTAATTTGTTTCTAATAAGCTGGTTAAAAAAGAAGTTAATAGGTTAATTAATTAAAGTTAATGATTAATTAAAGGTAATGATTAATTAAAAATGTTAATTAAAGGTTTTAACGATGATTAATTAATATGAATATTAACCCAGTGATTAATTCACTT